TCTGTCCCAACTCCCACTTCATAAATTCCTGGAGTTCTTCCTCTCACACTCTTCTGCTGGGAATTGGCTCCAAGCATCTCGAACAGTTCTAAAGTTTGCTCTGCGGTCTTCTCTCCCATTGCTCCTCCAGCTGCATTGTCAACAATAGCTTGACATCCTTGGTTTAAACCGTCATAAAAGGTCTGATTCTGGAGCGCCAATGAATAACCATGGTGTGGGCATTGAGTGAGCAGCATCTTAAATCTCTCCCACGCCTCATGAAATGGCTCACCTTCAGCTTGAGTAAAATTGGCAATTTTTCTTCTTAATTCTGAAGTTTTCGACTGAGAATAATACTTGCCAATGAATTTATTGTAGACATCAGCCCAAGTGCGCAATGAACCAGGTGTTAAAGACATAAACCACGTCTTCGCAGCATCTTTGAGAGTGTAGGGAAAACACCTCATCCTCAGCTCATCTTCAGTCACTCCTTGCAAGGGAAAATTTTGGATGATGCCGTAGAAATCTCGGATAAAGATCAGCGCATCCTCAGAAGAAAGCCCATAGAAAGATGGCAGTTGGTTATAGTGGACCGTCTTCAAATCATAATTGCGGGCAGCTTCACTCAATACAATGCAGGACGGGGAGGCACCTATAGTTGGTCTCCCAAACTCTTTCATCAATCGTGCATCACCCATTGTTGGATTAGGAACAAATTTGAGTCGCCTTTTTGTTCTTTTGCCAATTAAATTTATTTGGTCATTCAGCGGTAGCAAGCCTGGATTGAGTGACCTGCGACCAAGCATACAACAAAAAAAAAACGAAAAAAAGAAAAACAAACACAACTAACTAAAATAAAACTAAATTAACAATTTTCCAAAAACTAGTTAAACAAATTCCCCGGCAACGGCGCCAAAAATTGATAGACAATTTAATAAGTCCTCGCAAGTGCACGAGTCGCGGTAGTACAGTGCTCAAGTAAGGGTCGAATCCACGGGGAAAATGCAACCAAGTAATTGGAAAAATATTAATTAATAAAAATAAAAGTGAAATTAACCTAACTAAATAAAATGAGTTTTAAACTTGTTTGGTTTTAAACTGACAAAGTAAAGATTGAATTAAAATGAATGCAAGGGATTTAATTGGACAAAAATAAAGTAATTAAACAAATAATGTGAAATTGATTGAGAATTAAGCAAGAGAAAAGATAGTCCACGATTATGAATCTGTCACTAATTTTTAGTATTTGTGATTTAGTTAGCCAATTCAAATTGAGGGTTCGTTCTAGGCAAAAATATGACTATTCAGTATGGCGTCCAGAATAAGTCACGTACTTTAACTATTAATTAATTGGAAATTATTAATTCAATAGTTAAAATTCATTAATCGCAAAAGAACTACGGAAACCCGATTTAAGAACCAAATAGATAACCTAACAAGACAGTTAAATTATCTATTCTTTTATCCAAAAGAGCTCGATTTAATAGGCATGGCATGTACTCTATTAATCCACTCAAACAACTTAATTAATCATGCTAAAATTGGCCAGAAATTAACACAATCAATTAGGTGAATAAGAACAATGGATAAAACTCAATCAATTGACTTAACTAAAATCACAATTCATACTAAATCATAGCAACTTCATCATAATCCGGACTTAAAGAATTTAGCTACTCATATCAAAATAAACTAACAGTACGAGTATAGCCACTTATTCCAACCATCTAAAGAAAATAGCAATAAGGATTCCAAGTTCTACACAAAGAAATATGCTTGGATAGATCTAACCCAAGAAACTCTTGCTGTTAATGAAAGTTTGCTGCTGCGGTGGACTTCTAGGATTCAGCAATCAGTAATCCTTCTGCTGGACAGCCACACAAAGTTTCACGTAGCCCACTCTTCCTCCTACGGACTGTCTTGAGCGATTCAGCAGCCTCTCACCTTGATCTCCCCCGACTGGTCTGAGCGATTGCTGCCGAGTTCTTGCCTTCCAGTCCCAACTTCGACTCCCCTGTCTTAGCCGCCAGCTCCCCCTACTAAAACCCTGCTGCCTTCTTTTTTTTCTTGTGCGCAGTTGGGCTCTTTTTTCTTCAAAATGTGGGTGCCGTCAATTAGAGGAGTAATCCTCTTTTGCTTGTTTTTGGCCAGGAGCCCATTTCTTTAAAATTATTGGCTCACTTTCTTTTAATTTTTTTTTGAACAGCCCCTTAGAAGAGAAAAAGCTCACAATCGGTCTAAAAGTCCTCAAATTCTTCAATTAAAGTTCTCGCCTGTAAAAATCATATTTCACACAAAATATAATTAAAGCCTCTCAATTAGGCAAATAATAAGCATAGAATTATAATAAATTAATATAAAAATAAAGCACAAATTCTAGCTTATCACAATTATACTCGACACAGCATAGGACTCATCAACACCTATCTTGTGGAGTTTAAATTGACCAAGAACACGAAGGAGTTCATTGTATTGTTCCATAACCGGCCTTGAGTCAACCATTTTATAATTATTAAAATCACTCACCAAGAACTTCTTACTAGAAGCATCCTCGGCGATGTATTTTGACTCAAGAGAATTCCACAATTCCTTCGCACTCTCAACGTTTTGGTAAATATCAAATAACGCATCGGACATACCGTTAAGGATGTGGCCTCTACATATGTAGTCATCGTTCTCCCACTTGTTGCGCCTCCTAGTTTGTTCCAAGGTTTCATCCTCCATCACTTCCGGCATTGGAGTGCTCAACACGTACACAACCTTCAACGTGGTGAGAAGAAAGTGCATCTTCTTCTGCCATCTACGGAAATCGTTCCCTTGAAACTTGTCCAATTTGTTGAACTTGGATGTCATCTCTTCCACGGTACTCATGATTATCACAAAAGAGATATCAATTCGATTGTTGGGGTAAATCACGTAGGGGGTGATAATTTGAGTACTTGGATTGCTTAAGGATCGTGTAAGTTCACTTTCCGAATTGATATTTCTCCCCTATGCCTGGGTTACAAGAAATTCAATCTAGGATAATCCTTAAGGACACTCTAGAACTTAGGCACAAGAACTAGAGCCAAACTAGTGAGTATATGGATTGCTATCTTTAATTTGAGTGCCAAAGTGATGAAGATATGTTGGATATTGATCCTCTTCTTCCTCTGTACGAAATATGGTGGTATCTGTCAATATTCATCGTCCTAGGCAGTAGTAACACGATTAAGAATAACCGCAGCAGTTTTTGGGAAACTGCTGGAAACTGCCTAACCGTTCTAGAACTCGGTCTAGAACCACAGAGCTGGTCTACTGAAAGTTATACCTCGAGTTCTACCTCGAGTTCCACTAACGTAGACACTTTGGAACTAAACTAGTTCTTATATACAAGTGTGCACTCCACACCTACTAACTTGTATTAGATCATAGTTCTAATTCCCATTGGCACTCATGTCATTTCCAATTACACAAAATGGCCGGTGACACTAAAATCACCAACAGTTATTACTACGTATTTCGATATGTAACATGACAATTAGTTTTTACATTCAAACGTAAATAGTTTTTGATGTATGTAAATACTTTTGAATTGGAAAGAATGATTCCGTTTTTATGTTTGTATGTTTGATGTGGTTTGTATGGGTTTTTGCTTATTTATGTTAATTAAACAAATTTGGTAATTATAACATTTTTCAAATCAAAAATTAAAAAAATGAAAAATGTGGCGGTTCTTTTGTTAATAACCGCCATGCTTTCAATTTTTTTATTTTCATTTCTAATTTGCGGTGGTTCTTATGCTAATACGTGCCGCCCATTTTACTCCAGATTTATAGAATCCGCGGCGGTTCTTTTAGTAATAACCGCCGCGTTTTATTTTATTTTCGATTTTAAAAAAAAAAAATATGCGGCGGTTTTTATCTATAATAACCGCCGCGCGTATTTTTTTGCGACAGAGCCTTTGGTGGCGGTTAAAACCGTCGCAAATAGGGGTTAAAAACCGCCGCAAATATGCAATTTTCCACTAGTGTCATTTTAATGGCTAAAATTATTTCTCACTTTCATATGACGAGTACTTTATATTTAAACCTTCCTCTATGTTTATATATGTATAAAAAACGTATATAAAATATGTGTGTGTACAAATATGCATATAGTATAAAAAGTACATGTCGCCATGCATCGGGTATTAAGAAATCAATATAAAACAATTAAGAATACATTAAAGATAAAACTTGATAAAAAACAAAATAGAACAGAATTAGAATTGAAATCTACGTGGTAATTTTTTTTGTTTGATTAAAGTTAAGCTCATACTCCGTTTTAATAAACATTGAAGCTAGTACTTAAATTCGTTTGGATTAAACAAGTTGTTGCCTGAAAGCTAAGAGCATCTCCAACGGTCAGTTAGACACCTTGTAGCTTTGCTTGTCACCTCAATTTTTTATAGCTAATCTATTTTCCAGCAATGTGACAGTCCAATAGTTAGCTACAACCATTGCCTCTTGAATAGGCCCCACAAATCAATCAATATTAAAACATACATTTTGATAAGAGATACTAGCGCGGGAGCGCGCTTTGCGCGATATCGGTGCCCAACGATAGGAAACAAGCAAAAAAATAGGAAACAATACACGATGATTTTTATCATCGTGTATTGTATACAAAACATAGAGGGGTATCAAGCTGCCATGGATTATTAGCCTCTTCTATTGGTTAAACTCTTAACTAATACAAAAAATGTAATTGTATACATAAATCACATGAATGATAGATGATAAAATGAACATGTAAATGGCGGCTCCTTTTACTAAATAAAAGTAGAAGCTGACTTTTATCAGCGTGGATTGTATGCACAAACATAGAGGGGTATCAAGCTGCCATATGAATTAGCCTTCTCTATGAATTAAACTTTCATTTATTAAGCTGGCATGGGTAAATAGCCTCCACAGAACTTTTTTATGAAGTGAAACTAAAAACTAACTACACAAACCACTTTAATTAATCACACGTGGTAAAATGCAGAGGTATATCAAGCTGCCATAGTGAACACTATAAAAACTTTTTCAATTAATTTTTTTCATTAAAATTAGAAACACAAAACATTAAAAAAAGAGTCTTACATCCTATTAGCAGTGATGTAGATGCTGCCACCTAACCCACCTCCACCTTTGGTACCTCTATCGCCACCATCTGCGGCCTTTGGCACATGAAGGCTGTAGAAATAGATGTGTGTATATTTTTCTTCATAGTACTGTATGAAGAAATAGATGAAACTTCATCCCTTGAACTCTCACAATCGTCATCAATACCATCAGATGGTTCATTAACATTGGCCTGCAAGAGAAAAATAAATAAGTAAATAGTATATAAATTAAACAATAAAGCAGAGCTGTTTTATCTTTCATGAAAGAGCAAGTCTATCTAAAATGATTTCCACGAAAACAAGTCAAAACCTCCCTTCAAAGAAGAAAATTTAGTGGTAGAACTTAACTTGAACATATGTACACTTCATTTTCTTCTCCAGCAAAAGGGGCGCTTTTCTCATAAATGCATACATTATATAACAAAATTTTGCCACTCAACTGTAACAGGAACACATGTACTGAAATCACTAATTCACACATGTACTGAAATTACTAATTCATATAAAATTTAGCAAAAGAAGAAAAAAAAAATCTTTTCAGGAAGAAAAAGCTAAATGATGCAACAAGAGAATTTAAAATTGCTTACAGGTGCATGTTTGGATAAAATTCAAGGACAACAAAGTATGTCACATGGGAGATATTAGACCGCTCAAATGCTAGACGACTTTAATGACTAAAATTCAACATCGACTAATAACCGTACAATGCTCGATATACTAATACTAAAGCATTCACTCAAATAAATAACATGGGGAGAAGGTATAGATGTAAGCCATGTAGATCTCTGAGCAACATATGTTGAATCAACAAACTAATCCAAGTAGAATACCAACAATCCTTATTAGCAACCAATTCAGATACATAAACCTAGTCTTATATATCACATCTCATCTCTCCACCATCAGCGAGCCGAGAGATTGGATTTCAGTACGGAGTTTCATATTAAAAAAAATGAATATGAATGGTACATCAGAGTGGACTGAAAAGTCAGGTATGAAACCCATGGAAAATGCCTTGAAAGGTTTAAACCCCAACCCCACAAGGTTTAGGGGGAAGGGGGGAGGAATACCAACGCTAAACTGAATTTAGGACCGTAAGAATGGAAAGAAATACACATCAGCACAGTAGATGCTTGTATTCTAAACATTTGTTACATGCATAGAGGGTCTAAATCAGAAAGACAAAGGAAAATGGGTGGAACTACCTGCAAGCTTCCTCCATCTGACAAAATTAACCCAGCCGCATTCGTTTTCCTCAACTGTGGAATAACTTCAGAGATATAAAAGGCAGGAGTAGTAGTAATCCTAGGCTTAAAAGTTGGAGATCCTTTCCTTTTCTTTGCGTTCTTTAAGGTTGGTGGTAGATCCTTCACGATGATCACGTCATTTCTCAAGCTTGTTATGAACATTTCCTCATCATACAGCTATGAAAAGTTACTAAATTCTGAACTGCGAAATTTTCAATTATAAATAAAGTAAGACTAAGAGAACAAACAAAAACAAGTTAATGTGTTCATATCTGTATCAATTATCAAAGTATCAAGTCAAAACGAACCGGATGCCTTTTGACTGAGTACCAACTTGGATCTTTGGGGTTACGAGGGTCGCATACAAAAGCCTAGCTATGGTGACTAGATCACAGATCTGAGCAAATCAGCAACATGTCACAGCCTAAAAGTTGTAGGAAATGAAAGAGTTAAAATCCCTTCTACAAGTAAATATGAGCATACCGTGGTCCTAATCTTCTCGAAAGAGCAAAAAACCTAGGCATAAACGAAGCCACTGTTTTTCCATAATGGAACTGCAAGAATGGAAAGCAAATTCTGATGAAGCAAGAGAGGGAGAGGATAAGATGTTAGTACCCAATTTTGATAAGATTTTGATGATGCCACTATACTAAAAGTAATTACGCCCTGTGTTCTTACTAAATTAAGAATTGATCAGGTTCTCAAAACTGTGACTAATTAAAATGTACAATTTTTGTACTAAATAAATTTTTACTGGAAAATTAAAATGCAATAAGGTAAATTTTACCTTAAAAGGATATTCAGATCCCACCAGTATAAATTTATTTAGTACATAAAATTATCAAGTCACATAATCAGCTGATCAAGAAATGACAAAATAAATTCTGTACCAAATAAATTTTACTGGAAACTAATAATTACAATAAGGTAAAATTTGTTTACCTTAGAAGGAGACTTTGATCCTACCAGTACAAATTCATTTGGTACATAATAAAATAGAACACGGCACAAACACACACACATACACTGCATGTGTATGATTGAAGACAAAGACAAGAAGAGCATTAAATGCTCAACAGTACGAAGACCAAAGAAGATGGGTCGCACACACCAAATCGTGAAGATTGATCCTTGACTTGATCTTCTAGCTACTAATCAGTGAATTTCCATTATCAGCTCCAGCACAAGTGAACAAGAGTACACCTCATTCTGCGAATAGGATTGAATCTTCTCAACCAACGGAGGAGATCAACCTACTGGAGAAGCCTATAAAAGAAGGCATATGCATGAGTTCTAAAACCAAGTTTTTGAGTCTTCTAAGTAGAGTAATCACTCTAAGTATTCACGAGCTATCAAGCAAAAGAGAAAGTGCCAATTCAACTTTGCTCTCTGCTTAGACTCATGCTTCACTAAGCTCTAAGATTAGATTAACAACTGCCATATTTGAAGAGCTTAGTTCATAGTTGGAGGTTAGAACTTTCTTGTAATCACAAGTTGTTGTAAACACTTAGGAGAACGGTTGTTCAGATCCTAAAGTGCAGTTAGATAGAAAAGAGTACCTTTTGAACCCCACTGGTTCAATAGAGAAAAGTCTAAGGACTGAGTAACCTTGAGTGGTGCTATACTCATTGTGAAAAACCTTCAATCTAGGCCTAAGTGTTGTAAAGGCTGGATTGACACTAAGTGTATTGGGCTTAATACTTTAGTGAAATCCATCTGAAAGAGGGTGGGACTGGACGTAGGAGGATTACACCACCTCTGAACCAGGATACATCATGTGTTGATTTTATTTTAGTCAACAAAGCACACAACCAACACTTCTCACAAAAAGATTGGAGTTTGCCAGCAGCATCTTAAGCAGTTGCCTTAACAGACCCAACTGCTTATCCTACTGCTTAATTACTTACTTTCTTTGAGAATTTTTTCTTACAAGAAACGTATACAAATAACACTAAAAGGCCTATCAGGTCATTTTACAGAAATTCATTCTCAAGTATAGCAGGTGCCTCAGCAGTCCCCTAGTGTCCATCCAACTGCTGAGCCCTCTGCTCACAAACACTTGTTTTTCTTAAGCATCCCAACATCACTGGACCTTCATAACATTACGAAAGAGGAAGTTGACCAAACTGCTCTGTGAAATTCATCTTCTAAACCAAGCAGGCACCTCAGCAGTGCCCTAATCACCAATCAACTGCTAAGACCACTGCTCCAGCTAAACTTCTGATTACATATACTAAAGCACATTTTCAAAAGCCCTCACTATTCTTAGCAACATTTCATCATCACCTCCTTCAAACACTCAATATTTTTCAGCAGTTGCCTCAGCAGTCTCCTGCATTTCAGCTAACTGCCAACTCAGCAGTTGCCTCAGCAGTCGCCTACCCATCATCCAACTGCCAAGCCTACTGCCCTTCCATAATTAGTCTAAACATCACCCAGACTAGAAAGTTATCTTAAACTGAGTTTCTAGAGGTTAAAGACTTCCGCTGTGCATCTATTAATCTCCCAAAAGATTATAGATCAACTCATCTAGAAGGGAAATATTCTTAAAGACGAAAAAGCTATAAAAGTCTATTCACCCCCCCTCTAGACTTTTACCTCTATCCGGGACCATCAAGTGGTATCAGAGCAGTGTGTTCTTAGAGTCAATTTCTGACTACTTTTGAACTAAAAATCCAAATCCACTTGTCTCCCAAAACTTTCTAGAAATGGACAATCAACTTTCCAAAAATCTCTTGTTCAATTTAGACAAGTTTGATGACTGGAAAATTAGGATGAAAGCACATCTCAGTGCTTTGCATGATGAAATGCTGGAAGTGATCACTGATGGACCTATCAAAATTATGAAGGTCATCACATCCAGAACCACAGAAGGAACTGATGATGTATACATTCCTAAACCAAAAATGGAATGGACAACTGAAGATAGGAAGAGGAACAATCTTGACAATGTTGCAAGAGATATTCTCTTCAAAGCAGTAGATGAGTCCATATTTCCTAGAATAAGAAAATGTGAAACTGCCAAAGATGTCTGGGATGAACTAACCAAAATAGGAGCAGGAGATGAGCAAGAAAAGGACAACAAACTGACCATTGCCCACAAGAAATTTGAAGATTTCAAAATGCTGCCAAATGAATCTATTCATGAGATGGAATCTAGATTCTTGAAAATCATAGCAGAGGTCTCAGACCTAGGGAAAGTTCTCTCCCAAAAGGAAACTTCTCTCAAAGTTTTGAGAGGTCTGCCATCAAAGTGGGATATGAAGGTTACCGCTATGAGAGACAGCAGAGATCTGAGATCCCTGTCAACTGACAAGCTTTTCAGTGATCTCAAGGCTTATGAGTTTGAGATGAAGGAAAATCAGAGAAGAGACGGAAGAAGAAATAAAGACATTAGCCTTAGTGTCTGAACCCAGCTCATCAAGATCTACTGAGAAATCACTCAATAATCTTCTCACTGATGAGCAATTTGCAATGTTTGTGAGAAAATTCAAAAGATTTATGAAGAGGGAAGGATCTGCCACAAAGAAGCCATTCAACAATTTAGTCAGAAAGCAAGGGAGATTCCAATCAGGTGAGAACACTATTCTATGTTACAATTGTAGACAGCCAGGACACTACAAAAACGAGTGTCCTCTTCCATTGGCACACAAGTATCAAGGGCAGCATACTACTGCTCAAAAGAATGGACACAAGGACTACAAAGGCAAACGTCAAGCCTTTGTAAGTGAAAAGAAAAAGGAGGAACCCCAATCTGAAGATGAAAGCAGCTCAAGTGATGAAAGCTCTTCATCAAAAAGCTCAGAGGAAGCACTTCTATGCCTAGGATCCTGGCAGGTGACTGAAGAAAACAGCAGTTGGCTCGCTGGAGAGAACAACAGGTGGCTCAGTGAACCTTCCACCAGCTCAAGTGAAAATAATGAAAGCTGCTCTCCCAAATGCCTAATGGCCAATGACCACTTCAATGATGTTGAGGTAACTTCCTGCTCTTCCTATAGCTCTAGTGATTCTGGACCAAACAATATCACACTAGAATCTTTGTTGCAAGATTTCCAAAAGGTCCAAAATCACCATGTTCTCTTAAGATCAGAAAATGATAGACTAAAACAAGACATAAAGGTTATTCATGCTAAACTGCTAAATGCCTTAAACAAAAATAATGTCTTAGAGGAAGAGAACAAAGAGCTGAAAAATAAAATGAATAACTTTAGTATGGAAAGTAAGAATTGTAATCCTACTGCTAAAGTTATTCTAAATAGGAAGAGAAGAGGTCTCGGCTATGTATCCCCCACCAAACTCACTCAAAGTTTACCCTTCAAAAACCATCAACAAAATACAAGAAAGCTAATCTACAAAAAAATCCACTCCCCAAATGTTCCCACAAGAAGGAACCAACCTGCTCCCAAACCAAAGTTCAAACCCCTGTATAAATCAACATCTCCTAACCATCAACACACAAGAACCCGTTGGCAACCAACAAATAAGACCAACCACAGCCAAAATACCAAGCAGACCCCTCAAACCAATGATCCATTTCCCACATCAAGAAGGAAAAGGATTAATAAATACATAGCCATTCCATATGATTACAACACCTCAAATGGCTATAGACCCATCTGCTTAGGGTTAAGTGGTTCTAGATGGACATGGATGCCTAAACTTGGACAAGGGAAGTTGCCCACTAACTTGTGGGCTACTGCCCAATCATGATGAATACAGGAAGGTGCTGGAGCAGTGGACTCACAAACATGGTACATAGACTCAGGCTGCTCCAGGCACATGACAGGCAGCAGGAGGCTCCTGTCTAACTACATTGCAAAGGAAGGACCCAAAGTAACATTTGGGAATGTGGAAAAACAAGGAGAAACCAAAGGAGCTGGAGACCTATCAGTGAATGGACTTACAATCCAAAACATATCTTATGTTAAAGGATTAAAGTTCAATCTTATAAGCACAAGCCAGCTTTGTGATAATGGATATAGTGTGACATTCTCCAAAGACATCTGCTTGATCAAAGATGTCAAAAACAACAAAATTGTGCTCTCTGGGAGAAGAAAGAAGGACATGTACATTGTTGACTGGAGCTCAGCCAAGGAAGGAATCTGCTTAGTAACAAAGGCAGACTCAAGTATAAGTTGGGAATGGCACAACAAATTAAGTCATCTCAACTTCAAAACCATCAACAAACTGTCCAGAAAAGGCTTGGTAAAAGGACTTCCAGAAATCAACTTCAAAAAGGATCACCTATGTGATGCATGTCAAAAAGGGAAGCAAACAAAGATATCATTCAGATCCAAAGAAGTTGAGTCATCTACTAGACCATTAAATCTATTGCACCTTGACTTGTTTGGACCAGTCGATCCAACAAGCTTAAGTGGCAAAAGGTACACTCTAGTGGTTGTAGATGACTATTCAAGGTTTACA